TATTTGATGTATATGGTGCAAGTCTTGATTGACTGGCTTGTTAACATCAGTGTTCACCTAGAATTTTATGAGGGAACGTCATCTGTGAGTATTGTCACTGGGGCCATATCCACATTTTGGTCTATGGGCTTTAAAACAATATTTAGAATCTCATGGTTGCCTATTTTTGCCTCTGGCTGGCCAGTGATCAAAACACTGAAAGACAGACATCGATGATTCTTTGGTCCTGTTGTTAGCACGGTTTAAATCAAATGTGGGCTGTAACTTCATGTAATGTTTTAGAAACTTTAGAAACTTTCATAAGGTAGACACTGGTTGGTAGCAGTGCAGATGTTTGTTTTAACAAGTCTTCTCAAAGATTGTTTGAATGATAATCATGTCTCACCAAGTTTCAGCCTGTCCCGGGGGAATTCCCATTTGCTAGCATCGTAGGTGAGCCTCTCACACTGCTCATCCATTGGCATATCCTCTGAGTCAAGGATCATGGAGAGGTAGCCGGTCTTCAGATCCACTCCATTTGGCTGAAACAGTGACGCAGTGGCAAATTTTAAAGACAAGCAGAGATGTAACATGTAAATTAATGAGCTGCCATTTCTCTCAGTTATTCCCTTTCACCGCAATCAAAGTGTACAACAGTTTTCCAGTGACTCCCGTGGCCATTCAATAAAAGGGGCCTACTCAGTGTGGTGGGCCTACGTGACTTAGGGGAGCAGAGAGACTCCCTGTTGTTCCTGGATACAAAAGAGAGCGGCTACTGAGGGCCAGAGCAGTCACTTCCAATCAGCCGTAAATGCCTTACAGTGCGTGTCATTGTACTCGTCAGTTTTACCGTGTTTGTCATTTTTTTTAATGGACATCATCCGTGTGCGTAACTGGAGGGGAAATCCGAGGAAAGAAAAGTACAGGAAAAAGAGGATGAGGAAGTTCTTACTCTCTTTCTCCCGCGGATGACGAAGACGATCAGTAACCAGAAAAACATAGCGATGACCACTGACCCAATAGGAACAATCAGCTCCACATTAGTCTTCTCTTCCGCACCTTAGATATACACAAAGAATATTTTTAAAATAAGAATTTAAAGGTACATGACATAAAATGTGTAATGGTATCACAGAACAGATTTTACTGCATGCATGACAAATTTGAGGCCCGTGTTTGAGGAAAAAACAGTCGCAGTGGAATGTTGGTTATAATTTCAGTGAGGTGCCTTGGCAGCATTTCCTAAAGTTCAGACAGGTTTATCATTGTTTTTGGCCTGTTCACATGTGTATGTCTGTGTTTAGGTTGGAGAAAGGAGACTGTTGGAATCTGGACTGTAAGCAAACTGATATTTTATCTAGTCATAACAAATGGTCAGGAGTCAGAATGAATAACTACTGCCAAAGACAACTTGGAAAAGGTCTATCAGAGCCATTGTAGTGTGTCGCTGCTGTAATGGGCCCTTTCGTTCCACTGCTATTGAGCTTGAATTATTTGGGGGGCAGATGGGGTCAGAAAAGGTTACACTAAAGGGTTGTTTGCAGGGATTTTTCTCATCCCTTTGTGAATATGACAGACATGATGGACAGTCAGATTTCTGATCACAAATTGTTCGTTAACAGCACACACCCCACAGACACATGTGCTAGTTTCACTTACTCTCTGGCTATATTATTTGTTGGCCATTTACATCATTATGCTATATTTGTAATAGAAGCTCTCCATTTTTACTGGTTAGGTATTCCTTTTTTTAGTTAAAAGCTGGTCATATGTGTGAGTATTACTTTTTTGTAATATGCAAAATAAAAAGAAAATGTTATTAAAGTGACGTGCAATTGCTTGCCTCCCCCCATCCTCATACACAGGGCTTTTGTTGTCAGAAGGTCTGTCCCTCTACCCCCTCTTTTAACAGAGCTGGCGCCTGAGCAGAATTGTGAGCTACTGTAACCGGGTGCACATTCTGCTGGCGGGGAGACGGTCACGTAGGCTCTGCGTCTAGTCAGTTCATTTGTTTGTTTTTCGCTGTGTCCCTGTGTTTGGTACAAAAAGACTGTGGACGAGAGAGCAGAGGCTGGAGCTCAGGCAGGGCTGGCCTTTCCCTTTGTCCTGCCGTCTCTTAATTGTTTTAGATTTAGATACTCCCAGAAGGATGTGCGTTAACTGGGGTAGCTTCCTGTCATGAGGAAGCGAGGCTATTTTTATTTAGATCTTTGACATATAAAAAGAAAAACTATGTGTGATGTGAATTTGTGAAACCAGTCTTTTTACTCTTGGTGGAATTGCCAAAGGGTTTAGGCCAAAACCTTTCACACAGACAATAAGATATTCCTGATTTTAAGCTGAGAATGTATTACAAACAACCCAAGACACCCGGGACAGGCCCAAGGGCCCAGAAGGTCAGGGAGACCCTGAGTCAATGACAATGACATGCAACACGCAGAGAAACTGCAAGAAATAACCACAAAGATATTAAAAAAACCATCTGCAGATGGACAAAAAACAAGACAAAACACAACCCCAATGAGAGAAACAAAAACACTTTAAAAAGCATCTGCAAGAAGCAGACATGAGTTACAATAAAATACTTTTAATGAAATGTATTACTTGTTATTTGGCATCATCTTAGTTAGTGACTGACCTTCAGTACTCAAAGAGGCCTGTGCTGTGTCACACCCAAGGCTGTTACATACAGTGCAGGTGTACAGACCACTGTCCTCCTTCGTCACACGCTGAATTGTCAGACTACGGTTCTGCTGATTCAGAGTAACACCTGAAAGGCAACCAAATGTTTTGTTTTGCAGCTCTTGTAACTCATGAAGTAAATCAGTTTTCAGTGAAACGCTGCGCATGTCTCACCTGAGCTCTCCACAACAGTGTGGTTGTTTTTGGTCCAGGCAACAGTCGGGTTTGGCGTCCCAGCAGCCATACAGCGGAGAGTGACTGTCGAACTTACTCTAACCTTTTGGTCAGTGAAGTTATTAAGGATCCTTGGAGCCTCGAGGTCTAAAAATCAGAATTATAAAGATTATTTTGAAACAAATGTATGATTCACTTAACAAACCCTGACCTATTCCTTACAAAAAGAAAATGCTGTGAGTACATCTCACCTCTGAGAGAAACACTGTGTAGCAGGCAGGTTTTCTCCCCAGTGATGATGTTTACCACCTGACAGGCGTACAGGCCCTCATCCTGATGGGACGCATTGCGAAGTGACAGCTCCAGAGTCACATTGGTGCCAGGCTGGGGGGTCAGGACAGCATGCGACAGTGGAGTAGGCTGCAGAGTCAGTGAGCGACAAGGCTGCGCCAATGTTCCCTGCTCTGACTTGGAAACGTTGGTCACACGAAACCAGGTGAGGTTGCCGTAGATCAGTGAGTCTGCCTTACACCGCAGAATGACATGATCCTCCTCCAAAGGCCTGTTAGAGGGAGACATAGTCACCTCAAGGCCACCTAGGGATGGAAACACATGGGTAAAGAATGAGTAAGGATATAAGAAGAAGAAGAATACTGAAAAGGCTGTTTATAATGATGACAGAAGCCACACCATCAGACACAAAACGATTACAACAAGATGCTTTTTAAGAGGTAAAAAAAAAGGATGGAACTTACGTGTTACATGGAAAAAGATGACACGTGAATCCTTGCCTACTTTGTTCGCAGCCGTGCATCTGTAGAGGGCGTGAGCCTCAGCTTTCTGAATCTTTAAAGAGCTCGTGATTTTCTAGAGAAATACATTTCATCTGTGAGTAACCTTTATTTAGCTAAACTCCAAATACCGTATCGTTCAGATATCGTAAAATTCTTGGAGCAAAAGGGAAAATATGGTGTAATCACAGACTTTTTGTTACCTTTTGAGCTTGATCAGTGTCAGTTCTAATTGGCTGTACGTGGTTGTGACCAGTTCTGTTGCTGACATCTCTCCAATTTGTGCACTCCTTCAGCTGTGATTCAGACCTAACAAGTCTTGACCTGATGGACAAAAGTGAACAGAAGAATCATAAAACACAAATATCCAGCTCTGATCTTTTTTTTACATTTTTATTAAATGCAAAAACACCAGCTGTGTAAACAGCTGCACAGCGGTTTCCTCTTTCACTCTGATACACCGAATTAGCACTGACAAGTGATACACAAAAAGAAGATGAAAAGAAGCTGGCAGGTCTTTCAGAATGACGGCTAAGTACTTGTTTTTCCACTTTTTTTCTATTTACCAATCCTACTAGTTTAATTTTTATTCACATTTTTAACTGCTAATACACCCAAATACAGCGAGAAACACCATAAAATTTAGTAAACAGGGAAAGAAAGTAAGTAAGTAATAAGAAGAGGTTTAGCTTTAGCAGGAAGAACCTCTTTTTTGAAAAAGAACATGACAGGAACAACAGGAAACGTAGTGCAGGACAGAGGAAGTGCTCAGATGTGTAGAAAGATGATAAGGAATCTGCTGCTGGTGTTGTCTGGTCCCTCACACACACACACACACACCATCCTCCTTTCTATCAACACTGTGAAATCACAACAGGAGTCTTTCGTGAGGTTGTTGTGTAACCGGCTGAATATTGCATCGGCAGGGCTGTTATCTTAAACAGCTGATCGAGTGAGCACAGACACTAGGTCGGTACAAGTTGTCCAAAATTAGTGAGCACATTCTAAGTCTGAATAATTGACATGGTTCTAAAAATGGACATTGTGAAGAGAATGAATCACATCCGCTGATTTGCATCGGGTCACAGTGTGCTCTCATTGTCTCCCCTCTTGTTTTGGTCAACATCACGAAAGCAGCTATTCCTCTTCTATATCAACAACCTGTTGACAATGAGTGACTCAAAGTCATGTGACTACTCCATGCATACACAAAAAAAAAGCTCCGAACCGAATGTATCTTTCTGCCCTGAACCTGTCTAACTGTGCCACATGTGAAAAAGTTCAACTGTGTTCAAAGTCCCAACTTTAACATTTAAGTATGAAAATACCCTTTTTGTTTCTCTTTTACACTCACACTGAAGAGTTGACTTGCATGAAAGCCTCTGGGCAGTCCTCTTTGGACATCCACTCCCACTGGATGTGTGTAGGTACGGGAAATCCACGAGCGGTGCAGCTCAGAGTCGTGCTGCTGCCGTACAGGTACACATCAGTGTCCACTGCCATCTCCTTCTCTATGATACAAGGAGGAACTGCAAAGGAAGAAGTAGAGTCATATCCACAACAGGCAGCCGAAAATGAATGCAAAAGGGAAAGAAGAGGAAAAAAAACACACCATTGACCAGCAGCTGGAAAGAGCGCCTCTGTTCCTCTTTTGTAATTTTATTGGTCAGGATAACTGTGTAAATGCCAGCGTCTGTTTCTTTAACTTCACGTATGACGAGGGCATCACTCTTCTGTTTTATTCTGTAGTCATTCAATGGGAGGTCATTTTTAAACCTGGGAACACAAAGTAAGAGTAAGAGTAAAGTTACAAAATCCATCCAGTTCTGAAACTGTAGCTTTAATGCACGGAAACTGCTATGCATAAAGCAAGTACTGCTGTGAACACACCATTTAATGATGGGTTCAGGGTAAGCTGAGTACTTCACGGGGATGTATGTAGATGGTTCTCCCACATTTACCTCCCACACCTTTGTCCAGGGCTCTTCCATATCAATAAAAGGTTTTTCTGGAAATACAAAAATCACAAAAATAGAGAAAAGATACATTTTTAATGACTTTCTTACAATTATTATTTTGGCTTCAAATGAAGCAAAAACCCAAAACTATCTGAGACCATACAAACCATACAAAATGATTCATTTGATTCTATGATTTTGCAATTGTTTCTAGGAAAATCTATCTCAAATTTTCTCCTGATGCTGAACAAATGTAATTTTAGGGAATGGAAGTTAGAGATTTTCAATTTAGACCATTTCCAAATCCTTGAAAGTGGTATTAAAATTTATTAGATGGCTTAAAAGCATAACTGATTGCAATAATGGGAATAAGATAATAAAAGTAATAAAAGTATTATTGTTACTAATAATAATATTACAATTCAACTGCATCAGTGTGATACTTAAAATGAATTGCCCCGTATGACTGTTATCAAGATAAATGCACAAATAATAAACAGCATGTTGTGAGAGATTAAATTTGTGCAAAAAAGATGAGAAAATGAAAGGAAATGTATTTTTAAAAAATCTGAGAAAAGAACACAAACAAGTTTATAAAGATGAAAAATATTATTAATGTTAAAAAAAATATTAGCAGAAATTCAGGGGTTTCAAAGAGGGCTGAATTAGGGTTTTAATTATTAGGATCTGTTTGATGTCAGTGAGGAGAGACATCTCAGACACATCTCTCCAAGCACAAAGCCTCACCCACCTGCTGCTCAAACCTTGTGTTTGCAAAGGGCAGTCAATCAAACAAATAGTTGGTTTAAAGATAGAGGAGCTAAAACAACTTGTCTATAAGGAATACTTTTAACTGTAAATCAGGCAAAGCCACTCTAACAGAGACAAAGATTAAAGATGTGGCATCTGCCTTAGCTAACAATCCAAAGTACTACAGTCAACACCATCTACAGTAACATCTGTAGTTCCTCAGGAAACCAGTGATGTTAAATTCCCATGAATAACTTAATGTTAAGTTTTACCAAGTAGGAACAGAAAGCATCCTAACTGGAAACATCACAAACTAGTAAAGGTTGAACTTGGCTCAACCAGAAGGCTCTGCAGCAACAATATAGAAGCATCTTTGATATTGCTGAAGTGTTATGTCAGCATACATCATACTGTAGGATAATTTTTTTCCAATGCATAAAACGCCAGTAATCAAATAACATAAACTAAATAATTTGTGTCAGTTAAAACCTACTCTGAATATTTAACACAGTACAATCTTCAGCTGTCTTCAAGCTTAACAACTACACACATATTTTTTGTGAATGCTAAATTATTGCTTGGCTTGGAACTTTTTGAAAGTTTTCAGCCAACATAACAGGTGTTTTGTTTTCAGAGCACCCACCATAAACTGTAAGAAATGCCGAAGCGCTTTTCTCCATCTGCCCACTCGAAGCAGAGCAGATGAATTCTCCTCCGTGAGCTACCGTCACATTCTCCACGATCAGCGTGTTTGACAGCTCCAGAGAGTTCCACAGCTTCTTCTTGTGGGGAATTGTGTGGGGCGGCCTTGAACCATTGACCGAAGTCTGACAGAGGGAAGACATAATGTATAAACACACAGTTTTTAAACTCACGTGGCACTCATAATGGCTGTGATAACAGAATGTGGGAGGGTTTTTTTTCTAGTTTTACAGAAATTAAAGATCAAGTGTTGCCTCAGTCCAGACAGCTTATTGTTCCCAGTAATGTAAGCAGTCAGAACATCAAAAACACATCTGGTCACCTTTGCACTTTGGTGGTACAAGATGAAGGCTGATGGATTCCTGAAAGCAGGAAGTAATGAATTTGTGCAAGGACAGCAGGAAGAGAGATACAGCACTTCTGGTATCTCAGTCTCTTCTCATCAGTAAGTCAAAGAGGCCAACCTAAAGGTGGACTGTTACGCTTTTCCTTATTTTCAGTCATGTTTATACTGTTACAATGGAGAATGCTCAAATTTTATGTTCCAAAAAGTTCGAAATAATGTTCCAAATAAGCTCCAAATAATGAGATCAGTGTATATACAAAAACAATTATTGTGAGCCAAAAGTTCAGGCTTAAGACTGCTATAAATAATCAATTTCAGACATTTTTGTACTCTTTAGATCTTTACGATGCCTCTGAGAGCAGATATCCTCTAATAATTTTGATACTGGCATCTTAGGCCCAAAATAAGTTTAAGTTTTTTGTTTCTCAGGAGGATCCAAAACTATGAAAGTTGTCTGACGTGTCTCTTTTTTCAGACAATGGATAAACTGAGGGGCTTCACCGGTGCTCATAATTATTTTTCTGTAATTTGTATTTGTAAATAATCCACAGCTAGTACTTTCTTGACATGAGCAATATAACTTTTCTTTAAGACTGTTACATAAGTTCATTACAGGTTTACAACGATAATGAGAACAGAAGAGTGTGGGGTACTGACCAGAGCCCCACCAGAGTGCGTCCAGTTGAATTCGATGCCCACGTTCAGCTCTGTGAATGCAGTGCATCTGAGTATGAGCTGCTCCCCCACAGACAGCCTTACATTGTTGGGGGTCAGGGTGAGGTCATAAATCTTGTATCCTGCGGAAAAAGGAGGGAAGATAGTAAATCGACATACTATTGTTCTCCGGAGACTACAGACTCTCTCTGCACCAACACTCTGGTGCTCAGAGTGTTGGTGCAGAGAGTCTTTCACCTTACAAAGTCAAAATTAGAATTCCCAGTAAGTTTTGGTGTTATTTCCAGTCACATATGGGTGTTTTTACAGCCATGGAACTGACAACTGATAACTTCTCTTTGTATCTTTTTCCATCTTACCAACAACAGCCACAATGTAGAGCGGGGACTTAAATGTCTCGTTTCCAATACGAGTTTGGCAGGACACAACACCAGCGTAGCTGATCAGATGAGTGGGAACAGTGAAGCCCGTCCTTGCATCCCACACAGAATCCTTCTCATCCGGATGAAACTCCTTTACTGGATACTTCTGACAAACACACAAATTTCATGATTCCAAACAGAAATGTTTAAAGAATTTCACACCAATTGCTTTACACATGAGCACAGCGTGTAAATAAAACACCACATCTGGTAAACACAACTGTTTACCAACCTACATCTTCATAAAAATGCTTTATTGACAAGAAGCAAAGACCAGAAACTGCTTCTTACGATGTTTAGTGTGACATTGAGATTCTCCACCGAGCCCCGGCATGGTATTACCACTCGCTCCCCTTCACGGATAAACACCACCTCATATTCCTTTTCAGATGGCACAAATGGCACCTTATAATCTAAAAATTAACAAACAAATCACAATAGTAGATGTATTTCAGTGCGTGAAGTTGATAAATCCCATATTTTCCTTTATATAAATGGATGCTTGAAAAACACAGTGCAATAAACATAAAAAAAATAAAACAACAACAACAAAAAAAGAAGAAGAAACTTAAATAGAGTTATACCTTGAACAAACACATAAACTGCTGCTGAGGTTTTACCATCTTCAGCTTTCAGGCCTATGTAGAAACACTGATACTGTCCAGTTTCATTGACAGTTGAATTGGTGATCGTGAGCCTTTTGCAGAACAGTCCTGATCCGCTGCAGTCACTGATAGAGTAACGAGTGCTTATAGCAGGTGTGGTCCACCTCAAATTCTGCCGACCTCTGCAGGAGAAGAAACAAGAGAATTATACTGCACATGTTACATGAGCGAGTCGGTGAATTTAGCCAGTGATGGGGAGCAGTAAACAACATCTAGTAGTTTATCTGCATTTTGAGTTAGTTTGCCATTTATCAAAATTTTTATTTACATTTTGACTCAAGTAGTCAACTACTAACACTACATTAAACTTTAAGCAAAAGAAAGTACAGTATATTAAATTATAGTATTTACTAATTACTATTATTGTTCCAGTGTTGTAATATCTGCCTATGAAAAGTTCCATTTTATTTTCTTCATGATTTTTTTACTAATGTGAGAGATCAAGTGAGCAGACTGTAATTTTCCTAAATATAGCTACATGGTTGTTTTTGCAACTAATGTAGCTGCCCCCTGCTAACCATCAGAGAGAATGCAAGTTTAAGGCACGTTCACATTAGCTTCATATCTAAGAATCTACAACTGCGTCCACAGTCTATGATTAAAAGTAAAGTGGAACTTAAAGGGCTATATTGAGGATTGCGGAGAAAGTTTGCTCTACAATTAAGAGTGAAACTGTTCATGTAGGCATGAAGCTAATAAATTTTGAGTCTTACTTACTTTTACTGAAACACAGGAAGGAGAGATGACGTCATAAACAACTCTGAAACTATACACTTACTTTCAGAGCTATGAGAATAGAAAAAGCTGAATGTTTACACTGGAAGAGCGCTAGTTACTGCATTAGCAAAATTAGTCAACTATACGGTAATAACCTATTACACTTTCATGACGGCACTATCATTGTGCTATCAATACTGTGTTTAGTCCACATTTTGCTATATATAGACAGTTGCTGAGGTTTCTATTGGTGAAAAGTGTAGTTACAGTTCTGGGAAGATCACACTAAATATAGTGGTCAATATACACTCAAAATAGGCAAGAATGCCATGGTATTTGGGGGGTTTTAATGAACTCTTGAAACTGTATACCTTTAATTACTTTAAAAACAAGATTGGGTACAAAAGTTTGAATTTACTTGGGATTTTTATAATCCACACAGGGTCTAAGTTATACATAGAGGCTCATATATATTCATACATTTCCACTAATATTTGGGGAAATGTCCCTTAGCAAGTTGCACCTGGACCAAATGTTTTTGGTATCCATCAACAAGCTTCTGGCATAATTCTGGGTTAATATTTGACCACTCTTCCTGGCAGAATTGGTAAATTTTATTTAACCTGGTTGGTTTCCTTGCACAGATCTTTCTTTTAAGAGTAGTTCATAAATCTTTAATAGGGCTTTGTCGGGGCTTTGGGAGGGCCATTCTAGAAGGTTAATGTTAGCCTACTTTACCTGTTCCAAGAATCATTGTCCACTATTAGTGATGCTGAACAATTTAGAGATAGTGTTTCATCAATATTCCATCCACTTTGTACAATGTAAGAGTACCACTGGCAGCAAAACACCCTCAGAGCATCATGCTACCACCAACTTGCTTGACAGATGGTACAGCGCCCTTAGATTTGAAAGTCTCGTATTTACTGTTCCAACAATACTTCTTGTCATTGTGGCCAAATGACTCAATCTTTCTCTTGTCTGACCATAAAAGTTTTCTCCAAAAGGTTTCTTGCTTGTTCATGTGGGCAGCTGCAAATTTCAGTCAAGCTTGAAGGTATTGATTTAAGAGCAGGGGCTTCTTTCTTGATCAGCACCCGACCACCAGGCTGATGTACAGCTCACTTCATTGGAGACAATGACACTGTTGTTCCAGCAGTTCCCATTTTATGGCAGGTTTGAGCCTTAGTGGTTTCCCTGGGTTGTTCTTGAAAATCCTAACCAATTTCCTCTCAAAGTGGTGACACATCCTAATAACTTGTGTTTATGTACAGTTGTAGGAACTGATGATCTTGGAAACTGCAGATTTTTAGAAATGACTCCAAGATACCTTCCAAACTTGTGTAAATCTACACTTCTCCATCTTAAATCCTAAGTTCCTTGGGCTTTCCCATTGGTCTGAGTATTGGTCAGTCCAATGAGTGTTGTCAAATAAATCTCTTTTATGCGAGCCTAGCGAAACTACCAGTTGTAGTCAATCATGATTACAAGTTAATAGGCCTTGGACATGTAAAGTTAAAAGACATTGTAGAACCTTCAGCATCTCTTATTAAAGGATTTAACTCAATGTATATATTTGAGCGTGCATGTTCTTACTTTTGACTGTGTGGATTAAAGAAAAGACTAAATAAAGTGGAAAAATTGTGCACCTTATTCTTGTTTTGTTTTAATCATTAAAAACAAATGCTGTGTAATCATTAATAGCCAAAATGTAGCATGACCTTCATCTCCAGGATGAATGTAAACTCCTGGCCACATCTGTATATGTCTAATCCGTACCTTAATTGTAATAATAAGCCTAAAACCAGGTCTTCGTTTTCAAGCCTGCCAGTGAACAGCTGCCAAAAACTACCAACACCAAAAACATCTAACTTTTACAAAATGTTATCAAATGGCCATGTTTTTACTTAAATGTTATTCATTTATTGACTTGGTCTTCCTGTAAAAAACAATTACTCCAGTCAGATGTTCATGTTGTTTATATAAGGAGTTCTTGAGAACACATACTGCGCAGGCACCTTTTGAACAGAGACAATGACACGCACACATTTGTTGCATGTGACGGGGGCATGAATAAGTTCTAGGGTAGTTTTGCTGTTTGACAAATCTTTTGGTGTGAAGTAAAAAGTTTGTCAAACCAGTTTCCCCAACACTAGCGTCTGTAAGGTGTATGCATAGCCTTACATACCTGCATGTTAGTTCAAGGTTGTCAGATTTGTTCATCCTATGGATGCCATAGATATTTAGTGTCGGTGGATCAGATATAAACCGCAGTTCCGCTGCTGGAGAGATTAACAGTACAAATCAGTCACAGCAATGACTTACTTTTAACACAATCAGGGTGATGACATAAGTCTCTACAAACAATGATTAAATGAAGGTTTCAGAGATCATGGCCCTGCTGTTTTAAACAAATGCACATAAGATTAAGATTAAATCAAACGGCACAAGGTAAAAACTGAAAGTAGAGCACAGGAAAAAAACAGTCTCCATTATAAGATGTGCTTTGTATCTGAGTCTCTGGCTACATAGGGCCCTTTTTCCATTGCTGCAGCAAATGGCGGAGCTGTGTGAAAACAGGAAGCAGGAGAAGATGGGCCGGGTCAGGCTCAATAGTCTAGCACAGTGTGCCTTAGGTGGGGTTCCTGTTTCTGAGGATACAGCCTGCCCACCACCTCCCCGTGAGGCCCTAAAGGACATAATACATTGTATGGAAAAAAAAAACAAAAAACTAAGTGTTGAGCTGAGCTGATGAAGTGGGCCTTAATGATCTCAGAAGAAGAAAAAAAAGTTTAAACTGTTGAACAACATAGCACATCAGCAGAAATTGGGTACTTTTGTCATTTACATTTTACAACATAAAAACAAGTAATCAGGCCACAGTTCAAACGCTTTTGCTTAAATGTTTCCTCAAACTGGACTGCAGTTCTAAAGTGATATCAGCAAAGACAAAAACTATAGAACAACTGAGGACAAAGTGTTTGAAATTCTTAGAAAAGCGGCAAAAGCTTTTATAGAGCTGGAGGGTGACTTTGAGTTAACAGATTTAACAAAAAAAAAAAAAAAAAAAGATCAGACAGAGATCATAATCTAATATATTTCATGTTTCTCATCTTAATCCTTTTTTTAAGGTAGACGTTTAAGGTAGACGATTAAATGGGGATAATATTATTATCTTACCAGCAAAACAAGTGATTTCCAGAATAATGCCCAGTAGTGGAATGACGGACAGTGTCTGCGCCATCATCCGACAAAAGACAAGGACAAAGTCCTCATCAAAGTCCAATTAATAACGTTACTGTAGAAATAATGATAATCCTACTGCCTCATTACCAATCCATTAAAGAAAAAAAAAAGCTGTTTCATATTCCACCCCAGAGAAAGTTTGAAAGTCATAAAAACAGCCTGCAGTGGATGGTGATCAGCAGTGGCTAAAGTGTGACTGTGCGTGTCCCCATGGAGCTTTTGCGGCTGAGGATGGAGAGACGCGCCTCGGCTGAGCAGCCTGCCTGCAGGGGAGGAGTCTCTCTCTCTGACTCTCTGTAAACTTACCAAGGCGAATGCAGCGTGCAATAAACTTCTGGGCTTGTTGCCAAGTTGATGGGAGGACTTACTGAACTTTGAGAGAAACTTGGGAGACTTAAGAACTAGTGACAGCCAGGATGCATAACCCCCTGCTGAGGAGTCGTAAAACTGTTTACACCATAACTTTGACTCCTAGAGTGATAATCATAAAAATTATACATTTATTAAAAGGAAAATCCCATTACCAAAAGCATTAAGAAAACGTGTGTTCATAAGTTAGGGTTAAGGACCTGTTTTCACTCCTGCATAAAAGTAGAAAGATGCCCAAGAGTTGCTTATTCTCTCCTCCATGTGACCTAAAGCAACATTAGCATTCAGGTCTCACCGATATGAAATCAACACCAAGATCCATTTTTGCCTTGATTGCCATCTGCTGAAGGAAATGTGCTTTCGGATCCTTTTCGCAAGAGTTTTAAATAAATGCCAAGTGCTGTCAAAATAGAAACCGATGAGAACGAAAAAAAACAGTAACAGGCCGTAGGTCACAGAACCAAAGTCATGAGGCCTAATAATAACTAAATCCTTAAGGATTGTAGATTCCCTATTGCTACAACCAACTTTAAAATAAACAGGTTACTATGGTTGAATGAGAATAACTTTATTTTTTTACGCTTCTTTTAGAACACACAGTTACAACGCCACACTTCGGGTGAAAGTTCATGTTGATCATACTTTATTCATCCCGAGGGAAATTGGGTTAAGGCTGCCAGCCGTGCCAGCGCCGTAAAGAGGCGTACAACTCCCAGCGAACAGACCCCACGCATTCCCATACAATCACAGTGCTCCACACGTGTATCCTGCTGGAGTTGCTTTGCGTGATTCTCAATCAACAAAACAAACTGGCTACTTATGCTTAACAGCCACTTTGTTAAGGAAAAAACTTTTAAATTGTTCCTTAACGCAAATCTTCAATCAGTTTTGGTGCATAACTGGAAAGTCGATTCTTTTCATCTGGGCGCAGCGTTTTCAGTGGGAGGATTGTAAATACAAGAAACAGTGGAAAGCACAATACGTTTAATTAATAAATGCGCTGAAATCGCTATATTACAGACGCAGTTAAAAATGTATTCTTCGACGAGTAAAAAAATATTTAAACGTTTTGTTTGTGTGTGCTGCAGCTTGTGAACTTAAAACAAAGACAATGGATATCAAGGATGTTGGTTAAATATGATTTTAATGTAATTTCTATATGAAGTCCCCCTCTTTACAAATACAGTATGGTGTTGTCTAACTGTGTAACAAAAGACTGCATTGATATCATGAATTTGAAGATGCATTAAAAAAAAATATTGCTATTTTATAATCAAATAAAACAATATTTAGATATTCATAGAACAATTAATTAACCGGTTAGTTAATTAATGTAATTCTGTAATTAATGTCACCTTAATAACCTGCAAATTTACAGGATCTCTTGATTACTGAATACAGACATTAAGTTATGTAACAACTGTGTTACAATTTGGGCATTTTAGTCATCATGATTATTCACAAAATATATATATATATATATATTTAGGCTTTTTCATGTAAGTTTGCAGTTCCTGGAACAGGCTGAAAATGGAGCACTAATGGTGAAATGCAGTACTGACTAAACCTAACTAATGACTAATGTCCCTCCAATGCTGATCGGGTAGCTTTTTAATACTTGGAAATAAATTACAGCTGTAAAATAATCAAAGTATTAAGCTTTACTAGTGACACAGACTGGGCCTTTTTACAGGGTCAAATATATCAGTGGATCGGGTTCCATTACCTACCCAAAGATATCTGTTAAGGTTTGGAAAAAGAAACAGATAATCTGGGACAGTGCCAAAAAACATGTCAGGAAAGCAGGGCGCAGCTTACACCAAACCCAAATGACATTTACATTAGGACTGCTGCCTTGAAAAGAGGAAAGGGATAAAGGTAATACCTGGAACTGATTAACATCAGATTGTGTGTCCCATTTTTGTATTTTTCCAGAACTTCAAACATGTGATGAATGTAGTGCTTCATTTGATGAGGAGGGAGGAGGCTGTGTTTTGATGCTGGCATGGATTCAGGAGGGTTGAGGGAGATGATTGAGGGCTGTGTGTTATGCACTGCATCCACATGTTTCCTGGCCTGGTCACTTCTACTGGGACTCTCTGAATACTAAACTGCCTAGCTGCCTCGTAACCATCATTTCCTGGAGGACAGTCTACACTGAATTCCCTTCTGGAAAAGCTGGAATCAGAAACATTTTTCCATTTGTCTATCTCTGTTTATTTTCTAAATCCAAAGAGAGGTGATTGCTTTGAACTCTGGCCCACTCACAGACAAAGAGAAATGTTTTCATAGTTTAATGCATTTCAGCAAAGGAGAGGAAAGAATGAGGTGTGTGTGGTTGTGTGGAAGAAAATATTTTACTGTATTTTGCAATTTTCCTGAAAAATTACAATATAATAATTATTATTATTAGTAGTAGTAGTAACAGTAGTAACTGCTAATTTGTCCACCATTAAACTGTTGTACTAAAATCTACAAAAGAGATATATGGATAAAATGTGAGCTTAATGGTATAAGACTTTCAGCTGTTTTCAGCTGTGACTTAATTAGGCACAGCTGTCCAACCGTTCCTTCAAGTGAATATCTAATCAATCACATGGAAGCAGCCCATTGTACTCAGACATTTAAACATGTTTAAGACAGCCTACTGAAGTTCAAACTGAGCATCAGAATGTGGCAGAAAGCTGATTTAAGTGACTTTGGTTGTTTGTGAATAAGAGAGGCTTGAAAAATGTTGCCTGGTTGATTTCTGCTGCCATATTTTGACGGTAGGGTCAGAATTTGATTTAAATGCATTTATGGTTCAGGCTGGTTGGAGTGATGTAATGGCATGGGGGATATTTTCATGAAACACTCTGAGCTCCTTAGCACTTACTGAACATCATTTAAGCACCATAGCCTTCCTGAGAATTGTTGCTGAACATGTCTGTTATGACCCGATTTTGCTAGGGGACAGGGAAGATAGCATAAACGAGATCAGTTAAGACAAAGTTTTATTTACAGAAAGAAACTCAGAACTGAAAACCGATAGCGACATTTACTACAAATTACTTGGCAAATAACCAATACAAAAATAACTTGCTCACATACAAGTAGAAACGCTATTCAAACAAATTCCACACCTTAAACAGGGTTTCACAAGCTAGGCTCACAGACAGAAGCATGTGGGGCAAACTGCACGTTCGGTTCAAAGCAGCAGCCCCTGAATGAAAGTTCTTCAGCCCTTTTGAAGGCACAGGTGTGCACAATTGGTAGCAGATTGGTCTCTCTCCCTGAAGGTGCAAACCACAGGTCCTCAGGCGGGCAACTGTCTGAGTGGATTGTCAAATTCGAATTTACATGCAGGAAGGCTGACACGGGTTCCCAGACAGCCAATCGTCTGTGGGTGTTGTCACGGTTGAATTTGCTTGAAGGAAGGCTGGTTCACTTCTTCCAAGGCCAGGGGCCATAACAATGTCCATTCCCTTATGATCACAGTGAACTATCTTAAGATAAGATATGATAACCTTTATTAGTCCCACACGTGAGAATTTTGTTGATGGCTCTTAATGGCTGCTTCCAGCACAATCTCACAAAAGTCAGATGAAATCAAACTGGTTTCTTAAACGTGACAGTGACAGTGTACTGAAACTGCCTCAACAGTCACCAGATCTAACTCCAGTAGCTCTTTGATATGTGTTGAACCAGGAGATTGCCAACATAAATGGGCAGCTGACAAATCTGCAATAACTGTGTGATGCTATCATGTCAGTATGGAACCAAATCTCGAAGGAATGTTTCTAGCACTTTGTTGAATCTATCCCAAAAAAAGGGGAGTGCTGAAGGAAAAGGAGGACCACCTAGTAAGGTTTAACGAATCTATACTCTGAACCTGTATCCTGTGTTCAGGTTATAGTCTTTCATGGACAAAATATTACAAAACCTCATATCACAGGTGCATGGCTGCTTCTGTATGGCTGTCATGGTTCTGGGCCATTGACCCAGTATTTTGAGTTTTGTTCTGGATTTTTTTGTTGATTTCTTTGAAGATAAATGATGTTTTCTTAAGTATGTTATCTTCTTGTGCCTTTGAGTTGATTTTAGTTGATTTCTTGTTTAATGATGTTAGTTCCCCCTTTGTGTCCAGTCTATCTCTGTTTCATCTCTTTGTCCTGTCATCAGTGTCCCCATGTTTGTTTACTTCCATAAGTTCACACACAATATAACTATATCACACATACACAACAATCATGTACTGAAATAACCATTGCAAAAATTTTAAATGAATGACTGTAAATTAAACATTTACATTGGAATATGCCTTTGGACTATTTAACATAAATATGGCCCTAATACTTTCTTTTGAAATAAGTCTATGTATGGTATTCAACTGTATAGTATGTAGGATAATGTCTGTGCCATGAACAGGATAAAATTTGCAAGCTTTCAAACAATTAAACATCAAAACAAAGAAAATAAACATGAAGGAAAAAACAGTTTTTTAAAAAAAGAAAAAAGTCAAGGTCAAATTTATATAGCACATTATATATATATCCCAACTAAAACTGTCACTAAAATTTCATTAAATAGAATACAACATTAATAAACAATGAATAAAATAATTTTTTTAAACCTTCTATGAACAAAAAACATACTGCTGTAATTGTTTCTATCCCGTATGTTTTTTTGTGTTTTCTTTTATTCTTTTTAGTGAAAAGCTCTAAATTGTTTAGGCAGCATTTGAGTTTTTGCTCTGTGGTCTCAAGGCACAGGAGGGATTTTAAAGGTCAGTGTCCCACAATTCAATACCGAACAAAATGTCCACAGCACAAACGTGCAGAGAGAGAGAGAGAGAACGAGCGAGAGCGTATGTGTGTTCATTATGCATTG